ATGCCTTTTTGTTCCCTTACTCTTTATGTGGTTATTTTTCTTTTACTAATATCTGATTTGTAACCCTTTTCATCCCCTCCGGGGGATGTTGTGTGTTAATAAATAAATAAATAAATAAATAAATATGTGGGAAGAAAGCCATGGCATCGTAGCTAACCACATGTATGACCCTATTCTCGGCGAACATTTCGATAAAGACAACAGAGAAACAAAATGGTGGGACACGGGGGCCGAACCGATATGGGTGACCAATCAATTACAAGGAGGTCGGAGTGGTGTTTACTACTGGGCAGGCAGTGAAATAGAAATTAAAGGAGTTTTACCGAGCCATTACAAGAAGTATAGTGACACGACTCCATTTATGGAGCGCATTGATGAGATTATCGAATGGTTCACAGAACCAAATCCTATTAACGTAGGTTTGCTATATTTTAATGAGCCAGACCACAGTGGACATCAATATGGCCCGGAAGCGCCAGAAATGTTCGACGTCATCCGTATGTGTGACAACACGACAGGTTATCTGATACAGAGACTGAAAGAAGCTAACCTGTATGATAAAATCAATATTATTATTACCAGTGATCACGGAATGACGACATTGGACACCGAAATACGAGTTATAGTGCTGCAAGACTACGTAAATTTGAATTTGTTTGAGATCGTTGATGGAAGACAGGTGGTATCAGTTAGACCGTATAATAGTAAGTCGTCTATGAAATGTAAAACAACGTAGCTAATTCCAGTGTGTTTCATAAGTAGTGGATGTTCCGCTCACTACTAGATTCCGCGAGAAACCCTGACAACAGTTGGCGTCCTACCATAACGCTGTGTGTTGTTTGTTGTCCCAATTTCCACGCTTGCGTTCCGTTTTTTTATCGCTGATCGGTCTAGCTTATTACGTTTGTAAGGCTCAAGAGCCTTTTACGTAAATTTGGTGTTTCAACATACATGTATGTAAAAACAATCGGATTTTGATAAATGGCAATACTAGAACTTCTCAATAGAAACTAAATGAATATTGGCGTGCGATTTAAGGAAAACTTCTTATAAATTAATAGCAGGCTTCTACTTTCTTACTTGAATATTACTGGGTTTTGTAAGTGGTGGGCAAATTTATGATAAGCAATATTCCGAGGCGTTGAGTAAAGTTTCTCACAAAAATCGACAAGAAATGGCAAACGTAAACATTGAGAAAAATGTTCAAATTTGCTCACTAAGTCCGACAGGAGCTCAAACATAGAAAATGATTTCAACAAATCAAGTCGAGATCTCGCCAAAATAAGTAAAACATAAAATAATACATCTGTTACGTAATTTTTTGTCGATTTTGGCAAGTAAAGCGTTACTAAACCGTTTACTGTTTTGCTCACCAAAATGCATTTTCTCTTTGCTCACAATTTATCATTGTTAGTAACTATGGGCTTGTTTTCTTCTTCTTTTTCCTTTCTAAGACAGAGACATTGATATTATATACCACGCATTGTACAACAAACATCCTAATTTGACCGTTTATAAAAAAGAAGATATACCAGAACATTTTCATTATCGAAACAATCCACGTATCATGCCTATTCTATTGGTTGCGAGTGAAGGCTGGAGCATTGCATCAAACAAACATCTCAAAGGTAATGTGTAATTATGCTTGGATAAAATATTAGATGTAGAATTATTCGGCGTATCAAACTATGACGTTGTCAACTTGAAATCAATGTTTTTCAACGATGTAGCTAATTTTCAAAATTTCTAATTATATAACAGTTCATCACGAGAAACTACTCCACTGAAACTGTAATTTATAATGCTTCTTACGTTTGTGAGAGCGATTTCCCATTCCCGTACAAAAAAAACATGGCGTCGCCTGGATGTCTCCCATGGGTGTTATAACCTTGTGTTGCGTTTAAAGACCGTAAGCAAAAGCTGACTTTTTTAAACAATATTGTTTATATATATGTATATATAATAATAATAATAATAGTAATAATATTTTTTTCATACATTTTATTCATATTTTTCATGATAAAGGTGGCCACGGCTATGACAATCGCTATAAATCTATGCGTGCGTTCTTCATAGCTCATGGACCAGCGTTCAAAAGTAACTTTACTTCCAAGCCATTCAATAACGTTGATGTCTACCCGTTGATCTGCCATATTATGAATCTTCAACCTGGACCTCACAATGGTAGTTTAAGTGCGGTGAATCATATGCTGACTTCGAGTCATTCGTTTGTGTACTTGTCTGGTCACTTAGGTACGTATAACCATTGGTGCATGATATAACATCATTTTATTTGCATTTTTATTTGAGAGCCGTCGGACATGATTGTTTTACATTCATGGTACGTACCTTTAATTAACATAAGCTTTAGGTCAGCAAGATCAGTACTGTTTCCAAGCTTTGTCTAGATTTTGTATCATAAAAATGAATAAGGTAACAACATTTTGCCACTGATTTTTATCACACAAATCGATATTGAAACAACATCCTCCCACGACCAAACAATTCAAAAAAATGAATAAATCACCGATATCCACAATAGTATGCTCGTAATAGTCTGTGGGAGAGGGGTATTATCCCAGCAAGATAAGTGTCCGATGGCGTCATTCTGATTGGGTAAGAGCGTGTTTTAATTATGCAAGTCGCGACCAAATTGCAAGTCGCGGAAGTTATGTCGGTCCTCATAATGTAATTTGGCGGACGGAACTATTCGGCGTCTGCTTATTTTAAAAAACTATGGCGATTTTACACACATCCACACTGCCGAATGAATGAACCTCGCAAATCCGAAATACGGGTGCGAATTTGTTCCGCCGCTCAGTGTATGTGTACATGTTGTATGCTAGTTCCAGGGCCATTTTTTTATTTTTCTACCGTTGCAAAGAACGTGTCAGTACTGTATCATGGTGTTTGATGCTTTAAAGTTAATATAATATAATGGCAATTAACCACCGCCGAATACATATACACCACTCGATTTAGCACAATCCACACCATATTACACATGAGCAATTGTGTAATCCGTCACGGTCACGGTGAATTTTGCGAAATCTCATGATATACCCGCTTTCGGCGTTGGCCAATTGCTTCAATAATTATGACGTCGAAACTAATCATTAGTCAATCAATTGTTTTTGTGACAAATGTGTGAAATTATTCTCAGAACAATTTATATTATGTTTTCTCTTTCTTATAGCCATCATCATTGTTTGTTCAATTGCATTGATTAGTGTCATATTGTTAGCACCCGTGTATCTATGGAAACATTTCAAAGGTCAACATTCCGGTTCTATCAACTTAAAACTGGATGACGATGTGCCACTTTTACCCGGAAAAGACAGCCAGACAGTGGAATCTACAGTGCCAGGACATAGACTGTCCGATACACTACGACAAGTGGATGTGGACAACACAGAATTATAGTTGAACCGCAGTTCCATTATCTCCAACTGTGTCAAAATTGTGAAACCTGGACATAAGCGTTGATAATATTGAGTATGCTACACTAGAGCCATTTTGTTGTGTATGTAGTCCGATCTAAAATTTCTATCCCTATTGTATGTCGGGATAATTAATGCGGGAGGGTCGTCACCTGC